AGAATACACAACAACACAAACACGTATATATATATATATATATATATATATACTACATATACACATACACATACATATACACATACATAAACATATACGTCTATAAATGTATACACACCTTGATCTTGTTGAGCGTAGTCTTGGGGAGGTCTTGGATGTCGTCTGTGTTGTGTGGTACTGTGCTATCGCCCTGTCGCAGTGCTTTGGGTTTGATGATCTCAGCTTTCCATGAGGTGTTGTTCTTGTAGCCTGCATCCTCGGTCACCATTAGGTCGCCCTTGGCCTCCATCTCTTGCACCTATGATGAGGATATAACCACGTGTGTAAGGATAAGGATATAATATGATGAGGATATAACCACGTGTTTAAGGATAAGGATATAAAATGATGAGGATATAATCACGTGTGTAAGGATAAGAAAATGATATGATGAGGATATAACCACGTGTGTAAGGATAAGAATATAATATGATGAGGATATAACCACGTGTGTAAGGATAAGAATATAATATGATGAGGATAAAACCACGTGTGTAAGGATAAGAATATAATATGATGAGGATATAACCACGTGTGTAAGGATAAGAATATAATATGATGTGGATATAACCACGTGTGTATACATAAGGATATAACCACGTGTAGAAGAATAAGGATGCGTGATGGTAGGAATCCCTCTATAGACAAATCAATTTATGAATTGACTGCTCGTAGATGAGTTTGATACTGATTAATGAATGTATTGTTCTTGTCGCCTGCATAATCGGTTGCCATGAGGTTTCCGTTGGTAACCCTCTCTAGTACATATCAACAAGATATAATGAGTGTACGGATATGGTGTGTCAAGTACAAATCTATTTATAGATGTGTCTATTTATAGGCTGTGTGTTCGTAGACAGGTTTACTCTTAACTAAAACGAACATATGATTTCTTGTACAGGCCCTGTGGCATTTATACAAAGACACAAGTAAACACACATAATGCGAAACAGGCCAATCTGCGTTAAATACAATTACTCCCATATATATATAT